TCTCACTTTGATGAATTATTTGCTGAATTCTCATTTTGATATTTGTTTGCTGAAACCATTAGAGCAGCAAAAGGTGACTTTTTCACCAAAATTCAAATCTGATGCCAAGTTTGATGAAGCGTTGGAGATGGTCTTAGGGAACCTAATCTAGCTAGAAAAATTCCTGCTTCGATAAAATAATAATAATAATAAAAAAAAGCTAACCGACAAGATTCGAAACAATTCAAGGAACTGAGGGGCTTAAATAAAATAATTCAAACATTAGGGTTTTTAAAGAGAATACATTTTTCAGGGGCCTCACACGAATGACCGGTTTATGTTTACTAAGGGAATTGATAGACCGAGAACTTGAATTTGATTTGAACACTTACCTTACTTTGAAGACCTTATGTGAATTATTAACATCATACTATTTGATTATGAATAGTATTTAAACATGTACCTTCGACTAATTGGGAACATATGTATTATGTTAAAGATTGATTGCTTCGGTGTTATTGGATTTTGCAATTCATGCTGTGGGAATATATGAATTATGTACGACGTGTGATTGATTGCTTTGGTATAGCCTTTGTTGCCATGGGATTAATATCTGGATCTGATTTATAATCCTGATGACTTCTAAATGACTTTGAATGATTGTGATGGATCACTGAATTGAATTGAACCGTGAACTGTTGAATGACTGAGAAATTTATCGAACTTCTGTGACAAAGCAAAATAGGGAAAAAGAGAACAATATAAGACCGAGATATCTAATATGTATCTGATATAAGGTAACGCAAGTTTGGAGGACCAAACTTCTAAAGGTGGGGAGACTATGAAGATCCCAACATGCATATCATGATTACATTTATTTAATTACGTGTTAAGTTTTAATTGTGATATATGCCATGTGATTAATTTGTGCATATATATTTGATTTGAAAAGTATCTGTTATGATTTCTATTCAGAATTCAAAATTGAAGACATAAATGATATCAGAAATCGAAATTGGCTACATGAATAAACTAATTGGAATTTGATAAGTTTGATTAAAAATTGAGTCAGTTTGATAAATTACGTTATGTTTAATTAGCCTAATATTCTAATTAATGTATTAAGTCATCATAGCTATATATATGTGCCCTAAGCTCATTCTTGAGCTCATCTTCTTCATTTTTGAGTGCAAAATTCTGAGAACATTTAAGAGAGAGAGTAACTTCTCATTCTAGAGAGAGAAAGTATAGAAATTGAAGAAGAACTTCAAGATTATTGCTAGAACAGCCAAGATTGTGCAAGAATAGGGGTGTTTGAAGGCTGTAGGTGAGAATTCAATATATATGATCTTTTGTATGTATTTTAGTGAAGAAAGTGATAAAGCTTTACATGCCTGCATAAATATGTTCAGTTCTACCACTTTGAGTTTTTTTTTTTATCATCCATGTTGAGGTTGTGAGTTAATTTGTACATACATCTTTGATTCATCATGTTTTGGCCTTTAAATTCATGTTTTGAGAATTACAGAAAAGGGTTTTGTACATACATAGAGCTTTTGAGTTCAATTTTGTTAAAGTCATGAGTTTTGAGAAAAGCGTTTGGAAAATCTTGCATGCATGAACTTTTGAGTTCAATTTTGGTAGATTTAAAGAGATTGTGAGAAAATGGTTTTTAAAGGGTCATGTATACATATTTTCTAAAGCAATTCTACGATTTTGAACAAGTCATGCATGACCCAAGGCTTTGAATTGGCATTTGGAAGCTCAAACTTTTAGTTTTGAAACCCAGAATTTTGTCAGACCGCTCGAGCGATCAAATGGTAGCTTGAGCAAATTTTGCAATCTTCCAGCAACTTTCCAGTCTGGGCAAACCACTCGAGCGACCAAAAGGTGGCTCGAGTGAATCGAGTGTATATTTTTCATCTGCTCGAGCGACAAATGGTTGGCTCGAGCACATATCAGACCTATCTAGTACTTTTGCAGACCTCTGTGACCGCTCGAGCGAAGGGCCCTATTTCAGTACTTTTTGAAAAGATATTCTGTGTTTGTATTTTCATCCACATCTCTTTTTTAGCATTCTTAGGCGTGATATATGAATCATTGAGGATTAAGAAGTAAGAACCGACATGAGTAATTGAATTAGAAAAGACAAGAAGAGATATTCAATTCGAACATGAATTACAATGTGCATGGTTGTGTGTAATGTGTAGGTGCAAACGTTGAGGGAGAACATCGAACTAGTCAAGGTGAGTAATGCCTTTGTAAAGATACTTTCGTATAAAATACTTTGAAATTGGTTTTTCACTACTAAAAAAAGTACTTTTTGCGACCGCTACAAGCCGTCGCAAATAATAAAAAAACAGTCGCAAAAGACTTTTTGCGACGGCCCATGCGACGGCAAATGGGGGTCGCGAATGTGGGGGTGGCAAATACTTTTTGCGACCGCAAAATAACAGTCGCAAACTATTTGCGACTGCCTAACCTACTTATAGCGACTGATATTTTGCCGTCGCAAAAGAGTTTAAAAAAGGCCTACAATGTATTAGCGACCATCTTACCGTCGCAAAAAAAAAAAAACAAAACAAAAAAAAATACCTACAATCAGATATATATATATATATATATGCAAATATTATATACAATAAACGTAAAGACATATTTGCAAAAATCTCAACATTCATGCATTATTTTCCATTATTTAAAAAGGCCTATAATGAGAACTTTCGCTTTTGGAGATTATGGGGCAGCCCAAATCCAAGCATTCAAAACAAACAATAAGTCTCTCGAAAGAGAAAAATATAAACATGTAGAGAATATTGCATTAGACATTGATTTCAACTGTTCCAGTGAGGTCTTCCAAGTAGAAATGGCCATCCTCTAACTGAGATATAACGCCCATGACCCATCTTCCCCATCTTCCCCCTGTTAGCCCAATGAGACTCTGAATTGGAGATATCTACCCAACATATACACATAAATAAGCATACTTTAATTAACATATGTCTCTCCAATCTTGATATGTTTATGTGCAAAACAGAGAGACGGATTACCTCACAGCTGCCGAACTGAGACCTTTTAGTATCAAATGCAGGCTTCGAAAAATGCTGATCACGAGAAAGCCTGTGGAGCAACAAGAGAAATCTATCCCTATATAAAGTGGCTTTGGCATAAGCATCACCATGAATGGGAATCTTTCCTGTATGCCTACAATTCAAAAAAGAAAAATGGCATAACTAACACCACCTAATCAAATGTTCAAATTAACATGAACATAATCCACAGCAATGCTGAGAATCTAATCTAATCATAATAATTTAATAAATGAACATAATCCATAGCACAGACAAGGAATGTCAATATAAAGGCTCAACGGTAAATAAATAAAAATACCATGCCAAGAAGGCAATGGGTTGGAGTTGTGACAAGATTTTATCAGTGTTAAAAAAATTCATTTAGCCACCCCTCAAAAGATGTAATCTGCCCAATTGAAAGTCATTCAGCTAATGCAGAGATGTAATTGCAGAAATTTGCACCCCTTAAGTGTAAGAAAACAAGAAAAACTCTGGTGCTTGCTTCATCTATTCCTTCAATTGCAAATGCAACAAGTTGAGATATTGCCACTTTAAACTGATAAAACAAAAATCCAACCATAGCCTTTGGCTTTGTTTCCTGGATTTTTTGCAAATTATATATTAGGCATTCTTTTTTCTAGTTATCTGTTGTGATGACAAAGTAGATACACAGATTACCATAGCACCCATAAGTTGCCATAGTCATGCAAGAACTTCAATTAAACCTACTTAAGTTTTTATCTCCAGCATCCTACCCTTCAATACCAAAGATTACTTAACTACTGATACGAACCCCTTGGGCAAAACTCACCATTGAAAATCGACTTGTAAGGGGAGAGTGCCCAAGAGTTTTATATGCACATGGCCATGACCTATGTTAATCGATGTGGGATCATAACATATCACGCCGCTCAATACCTGAATCTTTTGCCACAGAGATCACTGTAGACTGAGATGCTGATAAAAAAATCACTACAGAATCAGACTCAGGTTGGTGGACGGGTGGGGTGTGGGCCAGAGACAAAAGCAATTATATCTCGACTCTGTAAAGCACTACAAGGAGAAGTGAAATGCACAGAGAAAGATAGGTACAGGTTCTTAGAAAGACCTGTGACTTAATGATCGATCTGGGCCAAGATAGAGCAGAATGGGAAAAGTGGAAACTTCCAGCCCAATCCCAAAATTTGAATGTTAAATTCCTTCTTCAGAACATACGGTGCCTTAATTTAATTTAAGATGTGAAAAAAGCTCTTACAGAAGTGTGATGCTGGGAAGTTAGCATAACCAAACAGAAGATGACCACATATCAGAAACAGGGTGAGAAAAGAGAGATTGCTTACTTGACATGAATAACATTCTGCATCACTCTTCATGGCAGACATTTCGACTCTCATTTTTTGCACTTCAGCCTACAAATAAGTATATAACATAAAAAGTCCTTAAATAGTCTCGAAACATCAGTTTGCAAATTACAAATTACAAATAAGTATATAACATAAAAAGTCCTTAAATAGTCTCAAAACCTTCAGGCACAAGTTGCAGAAATAGAAATTGCAAATTTCAGTCCAATATGGTAAATGTTTTAGGACTCTAATAAGATTAATGATAAGAAATTCACTTTGATAAAGCAAAGAAGCAGGAGTTCTTACCACTGGTTCCATTTCATAATCAAGTGGCTCCAAAATGAAATCCTCTTCTTGCACAATACCATTCACCATTAACTTAACATCATGTACCTATTAAGGCACAGAATTACTGAACATTAGATGTCAAGATGAAGCACATGGGATTTTTCAGTTAAATGAAGAAGAGAACTTACTTCAACAAAATCCCGTTCCTTTGCAACAATGCACTTTATAAACACATCACCTAAACTATAGCCGATTTCCTGCAAGGCGCACCCAAAAAATACATACAAATGTATTAGTGTCTAATGAATTGATCAAAATATTTTATTTGTTACTTTGAAGATGAGAAACACACCTGAAGAATTGGAGGCACCTTAAATATCACAATATCTGAAACTTCAGGCTTTCTAAAGACATAGGAAACCTGACCACCAAATATATCAGGAAAAAAATCAACTCAAAATATTCAAAATCCAGTCAAACATTGGAAATCTAGCTAACCATCCCTCAATTCTTGCAGTGTTATCTAATAATGAATTCTCTTGTGTAATTGCGACACCCTGCACAATAATAGATGAAGCAACAAGTCATACATTTCGCAGTCAGGAAAAAAATATACAAACAAAAAACAAAACATCTGGCTTATGGCAGCATAACTCAATCCCATTCAGCTAATTTTGCTAAGAAATTTGTTGAGGATGTGCAACAAGTTAAGGGGATGGACTAACCAACCGGTTCTCTAACACTTGCCAAGTGCATCCCAGAAATTTGGACTTTGTTACCAAGTATAACATGAAGACAATGATAATCAATTATAGCTAAGCTACACACCATAAACAAATCCCAAGGGTAAATCAGTATTAAAAGTAGCCATGCCTGCAATCAAGTAACTATACATACAAACTTTTCGATAAGTAGTTGAAAAACTATATCTATGTCTAAATATATATATCTAACACTCCCAACACTTCTAAACAGCAAATGTAGTGACAAAAAGGAAGAGTATATTCAAACCTCTAGGATAAACAACAAAATCAAGTCACTCTTAGGACCTATAATACAATTTAAACATCCCTAATCCATACGAATCAAGCCAATTGCAAAGACCATGTAGCATGAAAAGTAAGAAAGTCTGAAGAAAAAAAGTTCCTTGTGCATAAGAGTCTCAGACATTTGACCATAGTGGACAAATGGACCCAAAAATTTTGGCAGAGCTAAAAGCTAATCAGTAAGAAACTTTACTCTATTTTCAAACCAATAATAATAATAGGGAGTATATTTCATTTACACTCTGAAGAGCTGAGAAAACTAAATAAAAGCAGAAACAAGAACCTGAGATGAAAACCTGTTTTGCAAAATCCAGGCCAGCTTCACGGAATGCTTTTTGTACTTCCAATAAACCATTTCTTGTTTCTGGAGTGCCTCCACTCTGAGTAGAATTGGAACCGGAAACATATTAGCAACGTGTTTTGAACTGTGATTTGTGACGACTAACACAACAGCAGCAAAAAAAATGACTTCCATGCAGACCTTTGATATAACTATTACAAGCGTAGAAGCCAACTCAGGGCCAAGCTGTGCAATCTGATGATCAATGCCAGCTGGATCTGTATTGTCAATGAACCTTATCTGCAGAAAGGACAAAAAATTGTGACAAGCATTAGAAACCTCATTGTAAAAACAAATGTTCCAATACAAGTTCATTATATACCTTGAGAGGAGGATTATCAGGAGCCAACGCCTCTGCAACAAACTGTGGTCCAAGGGCAGAACCTCCAATTCCAACAGAAAGTACTTGTGTAAAGCGACCCTCAGGAGAGGTTGGGGGCTTAATCTATGGTTTTAAAGCCAAAAATAAAGCACGGAAAATTGTTAGAACTAGAGCTCTGCCAACAATGTCATGCAGAAAGTATCGTAACATCCTAGAGATAGTAATGAATTAGAACATGTTTATGAAAATAAGTGCACATTAAAAATATTGCATTTGTAATTTATTTGGAATAAATGCATAATAGTACTCCCTGATCTTCATACAGAAAAAAGAATAACACGAATTCAGCAAGTCTCAAGTTTCCTCTGTTTGATTCAGTAATCCAAATAAGCAAACCCTCAGTGCATAAAAGTGGATCAATGGCTCGTGATAGAACTCCTCACACAGCTAAGATGCAGTGTTAAGCAAATTTTAGTTTTTCATCCTCCAAAGTATAAGTCACAAATGGGTCAATGGAATGAATGTTTCCTTCCTTCCATCTATTTAACGAGCGCTCACAAAAAAAGAAAAAAGAAAAAGAAGAAGATAAACATAAAAGAAATGTGATTTCCACCAAAACATAGAAAGGAGTCAGTATAATCAGTTCTAATAAGCAGCCAAATCAACTTCCAGTTCATGCCTCTCCAGTCCATCAAGTAGAACCTTTTAGTACTTATGTCTCGTTGATTATGGCCATACAGTTGTGCTGGAGGTTTAAAAAAAAAATGGCGAGCTTAATTCTGCCATTCTGGGATGAATTTTACATTATTGAAGCTGTCCATTAGTCAATAAAAAGTGGCTGTCTGTTCTTTTATTTTGCACATGAAATTCAATCATGACAAATTAAATGCATGCATGAACATCCCATTGGCATGCATTATGAAGTGCTCCACTGCGTATTATGAGGCATTTGAAGAATAAATTAATCTCTCCATTGCAATTGAAAAAAGTCACAACTCATTTCTAAGGCAAAAGCAGGAGCACATGAAACAAATCAAATGAAATGATGAACTCAAATCTAGAGAAATCTACATAAATCACCTATGCTTGTTCTTATGACATCTTATTACACGTCTCAGGCTGTATTTTCATTATCACATTCACCAATTGAGGGAGATAGAAAAAAACACCAATTGTCTTAGGTGGTAAACTTCAGGCTTTCTAAAGACATAATTTTGGTGTTATTAAAGATCTAGATATAAATCAATTTGATTCCATGAGCAATCACTGCAAAATCACATGGATACAAACAAAAAGAAATTATAAATTAAACTTTGATTAGGTTAAAACAGAGCACACGCCAATCCAATTTCTATACATGTAGAACCACAGAAATCCATCACCGATCATGACTATCAAACTTGGTATAAATCAAAGTTACTCAGCAATGAATGAACACAGATATATATATATATATATACATATGAAAATATAGCAAAAGGATTGATTCGAACCAAAGCTTCGTAGCTGAGAGAGAGTTAGATCAATCATGAGTTCAAATCACTCCAAAATCTATACGCAGGTATTTGAAATAGAAATAAATAAGAGAAGAATAGAATTAAATCAAAGCGATTCAATACAATAGCAAGAGTTTAAACTCATTCAAATTGATTTCACACATAGGGCCAGAGTATAATACCATGAGATTACAGCTAAACACACACAGATTTCCACACACACACACACACAGAGACTAGGCGAGTGGACGGTAATCGGTGCGAGTCATATCACGATCAACACAGAGCATCGCATAGAGAGCGTAAACTATTCCAGGAATGTAACCTAAGATCGTCAATACCAAGCATACGAAGAACTCTACCTGCAATCCACAATATATATACATATATAAATATACAAATATGTATATATAGAGAGAGAAAGGAGAGAGAGAGAGAGAGAGAGAGAGATTCATACCACTAGAGTTACGACCATGGCGAGCAAAGAGAGCGAGAGAGCTAGAGAGAGACCTCTCTGTTTATCAATGTCGTGAAAATGACAGTGAAAGGGGCTTAGGGCATAGGTGAGTGTAACAAAAGGGCAAAATAAATTGGGGTCAGTGAAGGGAATAAAAAATAGGGGTAAAATATGCCTTTTGGCACATATCATGTCCAAAAATGTTTTCTTTTTGCAACAGTTAAATAATGGGTCGCAAAAAACTAGACGCAAAAAGTCACTTTTTTAGTAGTGTTTCTATACGATGAATTATGAAATCTATGCTTTGTTATGAGTTATGAGGTATGACAAGTTTTCGAATAAGTACTTTCAGATGCTAAGTTATGCTTTGAAACTTCAAATCGTGTACGATATGATAAGCTTTCTGAAAATGATAATTTGCTAAGAATGAATGAGTATCCTTTTGAACAACGGATATGATAAATGCAGAAATGTACTTTGAACACCAATTACTATCGTTTTGTATATGATTTGTCTTGGACGTTCTGTATAAGCCATTGGTTCGTTGTAAATGTTCTGTATTATGTTAGTCTTTGATGATCGTTTTGTATGACTTCGATAGTAATCGTTCTATATGGTATCTACACGTATAAGATGTTCTGAATGAGCTCATTAAGTATAAGTCATCAATGTGATGTTCTGTATAAGTCATGAAAGTGATGTTCTGTATGAGCCATCAATGTGATGTTCTGTATAAATCATCAATGTGATGCTCTGTATAAGTCATCAAAGTGATGTTCTATATAAGCCATCAATGTGATGTTTTCATAAGTTATCAATGCGATGTTCTATATAAGGCATCAACTGTGATGTTTCGCATAAGTCATTCTATATAAATGTTCCGCATGGCACTTCAATAAGTAAAATAAGGCTTCCGGGCACTTCGCTATGTGTTAAGTTATAAAAGGTTTGATAAACTGTATTTGTTATTATGTGTTTTCGAAACAAGCTTTAATTATGTCAGGAACTTTGTATCGTTTTGTTAAGTTGTAGAACTCATTCATTTAACCCATTTACGTAGAGATTACTCATTGGGCTTCCATCTCACTCTGTTTATATATATGTATATCGGTGGGCATTAGAAAGTTTCGCATTAGAGCCTACTTTGGAGTCAGCCTTTTTGTAAAGCCATCAGAGATGTGCCTCTGCGTCAAGGCCTTAGTTTTTGTTTTTGCCAAACTCTTAAAGCTTTAGTTTGTATAATTCATTTGTTTATAGTTTTTGATCTTGGGTTATGTATCTATAAGATAAATGTTTGTAATTATTATGATATGAAATGAGCTGTGGTTTATATGTTTTCGTTCATGCCATTTATGCACAATTCAATAGACAAATGTTATACTTTGCTTCCGCTTCTGGCACCGTATTTTTAAATACATATTCTGTTAATTTTGTCTTTGAGGCTGGGTAATCTGGGATTACTGGTTAGCTACAGCCTAAACCTCTGGGGCGGGTTTGGGTCATGACAATTATATATGAAGTTCTTTAATGGATGAAAACCGTAAAGACCATTCACAAAAATTCAGAAGTTTTAAGTGCCTCTGACTGTTGCAATATGGTGCCTTTTTAGGGGAATGTGTTGAGAAGGATATTTTGAAAATATAAAAAAAGTAAAAAAATAAGTGAGAGTACTTACACTTTTAAAATAGTAGTAGATAGATAGTAGACGTGTAATCACATCTAAACGATTAAAAAAAATGTAGCATAGAATTTTGTGAACAATATTCTTTTTTATTTTTTATTTGAGATAATTTGATATTTTTATTTACAATCTCAAAGTCAATCTAGGAAACTAAAAATAAATAAATACGAATATGGATTTAGTTTGTGAAAATGGAATTGAATTTAAATTAAAAAATTTCATGAGTATTTATCAGTAAAGATTATATTTATGAAATTTTAACTTGTGTTGGAGAAAAAAAAAAAAAAAAAGATAACTCCATATATTTTATTTTTAATCAAGTGTAATTTTTTTAACATAATATGTTAACATGACATGAATCGGATATAGGTCTAAAATGATACTACACGATAATGTGAAAATAAAGCAGACGAGATTATATGTTGAGAAGATTTTGACACGAATCGGATATGCCATAACACATGTATAACCAATACAACATGATTTTCACCCTTTTAGTGACATATGAAATGGTGATACCAATATATTAGTGACATATAATAAATAAGGACTGGCGTCTCTCCAGTCCGAACTGTTTGGCCCATTGGGCCCACTTTTGAGTACCGTTTTGGTGATTCGAACTATTCATATTAATTCATCGAGTACATCATTCATGCAAAAAATAAAGTCGATCGGATAATGGCAACCACGTGTTCGGATCAATTTTGTATGAATCATTTATTTTCTCACTGTTCATTTTTTTCCATACAAAATTAATCCGAACATGTGATTTCTGTTATTCGACCGACTTGATTTTTTGTAGAGATAATATACTTAACGAATTCTAAATTATGAACGGTTTGGATCATCGAAACGGAACACAAAAGTGAGCCCAGTTGGCCGAATAACACCTCTCCAATTCGATTAAGAACCAAAGAGAAGCCCAGTCCAATAAGTAATGTTAGGATTTTACCATTTTTCTTATCATATTTTATTTATTTTCTGATTTGTCATATCAAATAGTAAATAAAATATAGTAAAAAATATGATAAGTGTAACATTGCTCAACAAAATTTGATTAACATAATAAAACTGCAATGAGAAATATCAATGGTAACCAAATATTAGGAAATAATAAAAGACACAATAATACATTTGTGAATGAAGTAACTATTTGTAATCGTACCAGAAGCACAAACACTTTTAACAAGGCAATATATCATATCCAACATGGTATCGGACAACAACATGATACAATACTCGTTGGATACTTCCCAAAACTTAGACACATATGAAACATATTACAAATTTGAATAAAATAATTTGGAATCTAATTGTAAGATGAAAAATAAATGTAAATTTATACATATGTTTTTTATTATTTTTGACTTAATCAGACTAATAGTCCCCCATATGTAAGATAACTGAATCCCATGAGGCGTGTGGGTCAAAAATCGATTAACTGAACAAAACTCCGTATTAGCTTAGTTAAATGACAAAATTGACCCCAAGTATATAACATTTCTTTCAT